AGTTGGGCAGTGTATAAATAATAAAATAAAAAAGTATTATATGGAGCAAGGACATATGCAGCAACATTTATCAAAGCATTTCCTCAGGTGATGGGAAAGAGACTAAGTATAAAATGTAATATTGGAATAAAGCGTGCATATAATTATTAATTATTTCAGAAAATCTCCAAGTTATCCATGGATCTTATGTACACTGTTACCTATATGTAAAGGGGCAGGAGTGGTGGAACTTAAATGCACCACCTTCTGCTAGTAATTACCGTATTTTTTGCTCTGTAAGACTCACTTTTTCCCTCCTAAAAAGTAAGGGGAAATGTGTGTGTGTGTGTTATGGAGCAACTGCAGGCTGCGCAGCTATCCCAGAAGCCAGAACAGGAAGAGGGATCGCTGCTTTCGCTGTGCAGCAATCCCTCTTGCTGTTCTGGCTTCTGAGATTCTTGTTTTCCTCCTCCAAAAACTAGGTGCGCCTTATGGTCTGGTGCGTCTTATAGAGCGAAAAATACGGTACACACTGCAACTTTTTATTTAGCTTTCCCCGCTGCTGTGGTTTTGCCTACATAAATGCACCTGAGATTGGTATTAATAGATAGATGATGGTTGTATTCAGGGTTTGGACTCTTGGTGTCTCTTCCAACTCAACACTTCTGTGATTCTATAGCTCTGTTAATGTGCACCACACTTTACAAAGCTCAAAATTAGGGCTGGGGAAATGATGTTTAGCCCAACTCGGAACACTATTACTTTCCCCCCGTTTTTTTCATATCGTCCTGCACATCAGGACTGGAGGTTCTTAAGCAGAGGTTGGATGGTTCATCTGCCAGGGATTCTTTAGCTGTGATTCCTGCATTGAAGCGGGTTGGACTAGATGACCCTTGGTCATTCAGTCCAACTTTAAATCCGACAACAGTACCAGCCTCGATCCAGTATATCTGAAGAAGCGTCCCCACCCCCATTGTTCTACCAAGACACTGAAGTCCAGCGCCCAGGGCCTTCTGGCAGTTCCCTCACTGCGAGAAGTGAGGTTACGGAGAACCAGGCAGAGGGCCTTCTCGGTAGTGGCACCTGCCCTGTGGAACACCCTCCCACCAGATGTCAAAGAGAACAACAACTACCAGACTTTAAGAAGACATCTGAAGGCAGCCCTGTTTAGGGAAGCTTTTAATGTTTGATGCATTACCATAGTTTAATATTTTGTTGGAAGCTGCCCAGAGTAGCTGGGGAAACCCAACCAGATGCGACGTGAGACACCACACCACGGACTCTCCAAAGCACCGGATTTTGCCAGCTTCTTCGAAGGGGCCTCCCGCGAGCTGGATTGCGAGCATGGCAAGTTCTTGCAAAGCCCAGACTTCCTGTCCGGTTTTTGCAAAGCCCGCACCGACCCTCCCTCCCCTTTTAGGTCACCGAGCGCAAAGCACAGTTTATTTCCTTTTAATTTAACAGCTCTTGCAGCTTTTCCAGTTAAATCGACTGTTCATTATTGAGAGCCCCTCCCTCCTCCCCTCGGAGGGTTTCTGGAGGCCTGTGTGGTGCAGTTTAATGAAGCTTTGGCACAAAGCTCTCTTTCAGGGAAGGCGAAGAATAGACCGGCCTATTTAGGTCCTGCGAGGCTGTATGTCAAAGCCTCCCCATAATACTTGTCAGGGAAGGGCAGAAATTCCCACTGCTGGAAGAATGCGCCAGGAGTCGACTTGCCGGATTGACGAGCAGATTAAGACGCAAGCAGGAAATGAGAATGTGTGTTTGGAACACCTGTTTGGCCCCTCTCATTTTCCCATCGCTGGGGGGGGGGGGGAGAGAAAACCCACACCACTTTCATCAAAAAGCCAAAACTCTAATCTATTTGCCTTTTCCTTGCTACATGGCAAGGCCCCTTTCCTTCCACCCTGAAAACCGCAGCAAAACGGAAAGCCAGGGTGGTTCACCAATATCAAAAAAAGATATGGATGATCTAGTCCACAGCGAAGCACTTTTCAGAGGGAGAGGGCTTTTTTATTATAAAAAAAAAATCTTTAAAATCTTTTTTAAAAAAAGATTAATAATGCAGATTATTAATATGCAATCGTATAATAATATAATGTGACACACCATGGGAAAGGTTTTGAAATTATTGGCATATTATTAAATGATAATAAAATTATTAGAGATTATCGTTGAAATATGAAGCGGTATATAAGGACCCAACTTATTTCTGTGATGGTTTGAATAAACCGTTTTTAAAACTGTGTTTCGATCGTTGCAACCCACCCTGGGACCTTAGGATGAAGGGTGGGTAATTAGTAACAACAACAACAACAACAACCTAATTAATGCATTTATTTAGGTTGTTGTAGTAGCGCTGGTCGTATAGTTAAAGCTATGGTTTTCCCAGTAGTGATGTATGGAAGTGAGAGCTGGACCATAAAGAAGGCTGATCGCCGAAGAATTGATGCTTTTGAATTATGGTGCTGGAGGAGACTCTTGAGAGTCCCATGGACTGCAAGAAGATCAAACCTCTCCATTCTGAAGGAAATCAGCCCTGAGTGCTCACTGGAAGGACAGATCCTGAAGCTGAGGCTCCAATACTTTGGCCACCTCATGAGAAGAGAAGACTCCCTGGAAAAGACCCTGATGTTGGGAAAGATGGAGGGCACAAGGAGAAGGGGATGACAGAGGACGAATGGTTGGACAGTATTCTCGAAGCTACCAGCATGAGTTTGACCAAACGGCGGGAGGCAGTGGAAGACAGGAGTGCCAGGCGTGCTCTGGGCCATGGGGTCACGAAGAGTTGGACACAACTAAACAACTAAACAACAACAACAACAAGTAGTGCTGGTGCTGCAAAGTTTATATAGACCACCTTTCTGAACCATGCTGTCCTGGGAGTTTGCGGCCCAAAACATCCTACAAAGAAAAATTTATTCACAGAACCCTTTTCCTGTACATACTGTAAAGCAATGGTATACAATCTAACACAGGCTTGTGGGTTTTCAGAATTGGGGGCCGAATGGAGCACTTTGATCCTCTCTGTCTGGCCCTCGGGTGTCTCCCCAGGCCACCACAACCCTCACCTTCCCTGCTCCTCGTACTCCTTGGTTACTTCTTCTGCTTGGCTAGAAGGCACCCTTGAAATCTGATATTGCCTTTTGCTTTCCAGGATGGTGGATGGAGGGGTTTACGTGTGCAAACCTCTGACTTCTGTGTGGCTGGAATGTAGCCTATTGTTCAAGGTCAGATTTGTTGCTCCGCCCACATGCCTCTGGCTCCACCCACCACCCAGGTTATGGCTACCGGAAGTGTGCCTTGAAAGGGAACGCAGGCTGGAAAAGTCAAGTAAGAAAAGACATGATGGAGGCTTACAAAATTATATATGGTGTAGAGAAAGTGGATAAAATTCTGGACCACCCAATAAAGCTGAATGTTGGATAACTCAGGACTAAAGAAGTACTGTTTCACACTCCACCTAGTTGAATTATGAGATTCGCTCCCACCCATGGTTGTAGCCAAGTAAATAAATAAAATACTTCATTAACTGACCAGTCATGGTGCAGATAGCTTGGTTCTGCTCCCCTAACATAAATCCTGGCTACGCCCATGCTCCCACCAGTGAGGGATTTAGGATAGTGTGGGTGGTTCTACCCCAGGGTGCTGAGACATTGAGAAGATCCATAATTAAGAAGCTCCATTTGGGATCCATTAGCCATGGCTACCAACTTGGATGGCTCTAAAGACAGATTCATAGAATTATGAAGGCAATGTTTTGGGGGGTGGGCAGGTGTGGGGGACTCCCTGGTCCTGAATGGGGTAACTGTGCCCTGAAGGACCAGGTGTGCAGCCTGGGAATCATTTTGGACTCACAGCTGTCCATGGAGGCACAGGTTAATTCTGTGTCCAGGGCAGCTGTCTACCAGCTCCATCTGGTACACAGGCTGAGACCCTACCTGCCCACAGACTGTCTCACCAGAGTGGTGCATACTCTAGTTATCTCCCGCTTGGACTACTGCAATGCTCTCTACGTGGGGCTACCTTTGAAGGTGACTTGGAAACTACAACTAATCCAGAATGCGGCAGCTAGACTGGTGACTGGGAGTGTCTGCCGAGACCGTATTACACCGGTCCTGAAAGACCTACATTGGCTCCCAGTATGTTTCTGAGCACAATTTAAAGTGTTGGTCCTGACCTTTAAAGCCCCAAATGGCCTCGGTCTGCACCCCATCGTTCATCCCGGACACTGAGGTCCAGCTCCTTCTGGCGGTTCCCTCATTGCAAGGTTACAGGGAACCAGGCAGAGGGCCTTCTCAGTGGTGGCGCCCACCCTGTGGAACGCCCTTCCATTAGATGCCAAGGAAATAAACAAGTATCTGACTTTTAGAAGACATCTGAAGGTAGCCCTGTTTATAGAAGGTTTTAATGTTTTACCGTTTTAATGTTTTAATAATCTGTTGGTAGTCGCCCAGAATGGCTGTGGAAACCCAGCCAGATGGGTGTGGTATAAACAACAACAACAACAACAACAACAACAACAATTAGTCCAACCCCCTGTAATGCAGGGATCTTTTGCCCAATGTCACGATCCCAAACTCTACCAACTGAGCCATCCCAGGTCCGAGGAGGAGAAGGCAATCAATGGCTACTAGCCATGAAGACCACCATCTCTGAATTGCAGTTGCTGGGAATCGCAAGCCGGGAGAAAGCTTTTGCACTCAGGTCCTGCTAGTTCTGCTTCGCATTGGGGTTTATCTGGCTGCACACGGTGAGAGCAGGATGCTAAGACCAAACTACCGGGATCAGGCCAAAGGTCCATGTAGTCTGGCATCCTGTTCTCAACAGGATAGATGCAGCCCGTGGCAAACCAGCGAGCAGCATTTCCTCTCCCGTCCTGCGGTTTCCAACAGTTGGAATTCTGCTGAACTTAGACGTGCCACCAGCCTGATTCAGCCGCCAGGTTCTTCTTGTGAAAAGAGGGTTTATTTATTTCAAAGGCAGGCCCAATAAAGGGTTAACTCCCCCATCTGAAAAGGGTGGTGGTCCCTCCTCCCCACGACGCATCACCAGCCTCTTCCTCCTCCTCCTCTGGGAGCCAAATGTAAAAGCGCGATGGGGCGGGGAGGAGGGAGGATGCCGTCGGAGAGCCGTCGGAGCGAGGCCAAGAGCTGATGTCCAGCCTCTTCCCAGTTTGCATCGGTGACCCAGGCAACGAGATCGAGCCGAGGAGGCTGCTTTGCGCGCGGCTGCGGCTGGACAAAAAAGGCTCGGGAGAGGACAGAGAGGGAGAGAGAAAATGCCACCGCGCTGCGCCGGCTGCTGGCCTCGACGGCCGTTTCCTCCTCCCGGGTACCGAAAGTAGCCACGAGGGGTGTTTACCGGACAAGCAGTGCTTGCTTTTTATCCCCTGCATTTTTTTTTATTTTTGGGAAGAAAAAGCTTTTCGTCTTCTTTAAGGAGCAAAGCACTCGACGGCGATGGCGGTGCAAGCGGCGGCGGTTCACCCGCACCACCATTTCATCCCGTTTTGCTTCCCCGGCGCCGCGGGGCTGGGGGATTTCGTCGACCTGGAAAAGAGCTACGAGGACGGGGGGACCCTCCTGCTAGGAGGCGGAGGAGCCGGAGGAGCAGGAGGGGGCGACCCCGGGGATTTCAAAGAAGCCACCCGGGACCTCCTGAGCTTCATCGACTCGGCTTGCAGCAACATCAAACTAGCCTTGGACAAGCCGGTGAAATCCAAGCGCAAAGTCAACCACCGGAAATATTTGCAGAAGCAGATCAAGCGCTGCACCGGCATGATCGGGGGAGCCCAGACGGCTGCTGCAACGCCCGGGAGCCAGGAGGCGTCTAATAATAATAATAACAACAACAGTAATAATATGAGCTCCCAGCAGCAGCCACATCCTGCTAACAAGAGGACTCCGGCTGGGACGGCGCATGGCGCGTCGTCTGCGTCCGCCTCGCCCCCCGGCGGCGTCGCGGCGCACTGCAAAGCGCCCCAGAAGCGCGAAGCCAGCGCGCTGCAGAGCAAAAGCCTGGCGGCGCTCTTCGGCTCCGTGCGCCCGTCGGGCTTCGATCGCGCCGTCGGGGCCGCTGCGGGCGGCGGCGGCGTCGGGCCGTCGGGAGAGAAAGAAGGCGGCCCGGGTCCCTCTGCCTCCACCGGCGGGAAGAAAGTGCCTCTCCGGAACCGCAACCTGCCCCTTTCCTTCTTCACCGAGCCGGCCGCGGCGAGCTCCGTCCCGAAAGACGCCGCGGGCCCCGTCCCGTCGGAGGAGCTCTTCGACCTGCTGGCTGTCCCCGACTACAGCGCCCTGCTCCCTCCCGCCGAGCCGGAGCAGCCGGTCTTCCCCAGCAGCCGCCTGCAGCCGCCGGATCTGGGCTTGGAGGCGCCTCTCTACGAGCCCCTGCACCCGCTGCCCCACTTGCTCTTCTCCGACGCCCCCCTGCGGCCCCTCGCCGCCCTCTACGCCGCCCCTTCGGACCCGGCAGCGGCGCCCGAGAGCAGCAGCGGCGCCGCGGCGGGGGCGCACGTCCCGGCCGCGGCCTTTGCTCCCTTCTTCCCCGAGTGCGCGCTCCCGCCTGCGCCGCCGGCCATGCCCTACGATTACGCCCCGGGGTATAGTAGGGGGGTTCCTGCTTATTCCACCCTTTAGACGAGGGAGGTTGAGCTCTGAAAGAGAAGGGGGTTGGAAGGTTGCGGGGATTGGCAGATCCCCCAAATTTCAGAGGCACTTTTTTATTTTGGAGTTTAATGGATCCCATAGAAAATGTCTCCAATAACAGGCGTCTGTTAAGGGCAGAAATGGCTCTGGAGAACTTCCAGTTCCTGCTATTAAGCAGAGCAGATCTACACCTTAGCAGTAAAGGACACCAGGAGAGCTCTGTAGCAGGATCAGGCCAGGGGGACCCCATCCAGTCCAACATTTTGTGGATGCCACCCAGATACCAGGGCAAAACTCAGTGCAGTGATCCCCACCCAGCAGCTGGCATTTGGGAGGCATGCTGCCAACCCTGTGCATGCCTACTTGGAAGTAAGCCCAGGGTTCAGTGAGGCTTACTCCCAGGTAAGTGGTGCATAGGATTGTAGTCTTTGATCGTTATCCCCTCTTCCCTTGGGCATATGGAGGACTTACAGTTCAACCCTAGCTGTGTCTACTCAGAAGTAAGCGCTGTTGAATTCAGTGGGTCTACTCAGATTGTGATGTTCATTAGAAAGCAGCTCAGGGGGACCACAGAACGCCAGATATCTTTAACCCTTCCTTTCCCTCCCACAATTCTGATGAAAACCATCCCTGCCAGGGATTCTTTCACTGTGATTCCTGTATTGCATAGGGTTGGACTAGATGCCCCTTGGGGGTCCCTTCCAACGCTACCATGATATGATACTATGCTATGAGACTTGGAATGAGGGAGGAAAAATCCCCCCTAAGGCTAATTGGGGTGGGCGGGATTTTTTTATCAGAATAACAGCCAGGGTGGGAAGGGTTAAACTCCCCCCACTGCCGCCTATGGACCTCCCCCCCCCAATGCCCCTATGATTAAATAAAACAAATCCCTGACATGCCTTTTAGCCATGTTAAGTTTGGCTCTCCTTAAATGGGCATAGCAACCGATGTCTTTGTCCAAGGAGCCCCTGTGAGCGCGGAAGTCTGGCGAGGGAGCCTAGCAAGGATTTGAAACTACATTTCCCAGGATCCTTTGGGTGGGATGCTATTAGGGTTGCCATATGTCTGGAACTCCCCAGACATAGTCGGAATATGGCAGTCAGTAACGGTGTCTGGGCAGAAAAGTTCAAGAACTTTGCCCCCCCCAAAAAAGCTCAAAAACTTTTGTGTCCGGATTTTCGCCCTAGAAACCATGGAAGTTCAGTGAGCACAAAAGCCTGTCTTGCCGTACTTCTAACCGGCCTCTATACAGTGGTGCCTCGCAAGACGAAATTAATTCGTTCCGCGAGTTTTGTTGTCTTGCGATTTTTTTCGTCTTGTGAAGCACGGTGTCGGGAAAGTTTTGGAAAAGCTTCAAAAATCACCAAAGTCTTTAAAAACCTCAAAAAAGGCTACCACACCGCGTTCTATGAGTTGCTCCTCGAAGTCAAGTCGCAACTGTATTAACGGTGTTAAGAAAAAGGAAACAAACTTGCAAGACGTTTCCGTCTTGCGAAGCAAGCCCATAGGGAAAATCGTCTTGCGAAGCAGCTCAAAAAACAAAAAACCCTTTCGTCTAGCAAGTTTTCTGTCTTGCGAGGCATTCGTCTTGCGAGGTACCACTGTATAGTGGTTGAGGATCACAAATTGAGGGAGAGTGCTTTCCTGCAGACACCTGGTTGGCCAACACTTAGAGCAGGTCGCTGGACTAGATGGCAGGGCCTTGGTCTGATCCAACTGGGCTCTCCTGTTCATACCGGGGTTATATTTTGACACAAGCACCATCTGGTTCATGGGTTGTTGATAGAGGCAGATGCATGCCAGCACTGAATAATGTTGGAGGTTGTTTGGTGTGTTAACATACATATCTTGCTTGTTGCCACATGGGATCAGTTCTTAACTATCACCTGATTGTCTTTGGTCATCCTGCACATAAAAAGGGTTTTGGTTTTTTTTTTGGGGGGGGGTGAGATTCTGAAATGAAAATGCCAATTGTTCTTGCTTCCCATGTTTATTAAGCCTCTTGGTTTTCGCTCGTGTGAAATCCTGATTCCCAGCGTCGTGCGTGTTTTAAAAGCTCCCTGCAAGCAGAAAGGAAGGTCTGCTGGCCAAAGGCCAAAATAGAAACCTGCAACTCACTTGAAACCCCCCCCCTAAGAGTTTAAGGCTGTGGTTCTCTGCTCGGTTACCTGGGAGTAGGTCTTGATGAACTCTGGGTCTTACTTCTGCGTAAACCTATGTAGGATTGGGGTGGCAGAACACCTGCTTTCCATGCAGAACGACCCAGGTTCAATCCACAACATCTCCAGGTTGCACAGACCCCTGTCTCAAACGCTGGAGAGCTGCTGTCAGTCAGTGTAGACAATATTGATCTAGATGGACCAATGGTCTGACTCTGTGTAAAGCAGCCTCTGGTGTCCAGCACACCTGATTTATAACATTCTTAGGCTCCCGGTGCTATTCAGGAATATGCAGAATACCTCCCCTCCTGAGCTGACTTGATTTCTACTTACTTAACTCTGAATATTTGGAGCGAGGGTGGTGGGGAAGAAACCCAGGCACACCTAACACATGGGTCTGCATGAGAAAGGCGTGCACCCCTGTCGCATGTGGAAATGGTGCGCCATTTTTGCTGCATATTTGCAGTGCAGTTTGGAAACCACTGTAGGGCCTGGCTGGCACTGCCACGTGGCACACATATTTGTAGTGCCTTCACTGGATGGGTGCTATAAATTGTAAGGGGAGATAACAGGTCTGTAGACGTGTGGAGGACGCTTTGCTCGAAGCGTTGACCAGCTGCAGATCCCTGGCGCATGGCCCGGTGTGTTTACAGATGCACGTCTCTCCACACTCAACTGGTTCATTGGGAGACAACATGGCGTACTCACGGAGAAACCCACTTGCCGTGTGAAGGAGGGCTATAAAACGCCACTCGTCTGGTCGCCTGTGGTCAGTTAAGGATTTCCTCCAGGCAACCAGGTTACAAAAGCTGCTTCTTTCCTGTTTTCGATCGCGACTAACGTAGGTATGAGTGATCGGATGGGAATTTAAGCATTTGGGATGGAAGCCTTTGTCGGTAACGTGGGAGACCTGTTTCTGAATCTCCTGACTTATTTGATTTTCCTTTCTAGCAGGGATGGGTAACCTGTGTGCCTCTACATGTTACTGAACTACAAGTCCCATGACTCTTGGCTGTTCTGGCAGGGGCTGATGGGAACTGTAGTTCAGCAAAGCATGGGGAGGCACCATTACCCATCCCTGGTTTTACCTAACTGCCCCTGGATTTTCTTTTCCATGGGGCCAACACTAACTGGGTTTGTGTGAGTTGATTTTAGATTTTGGGGGAACGACGCAGGGGAAAGAATGATAAATTTCCCACAAAACTGAAGCCCCTCTCATCTCTGTATTTGACATCTTAGATTCAGGCTGCACATGACCTAGAATAAAGCTGTAGAATTCTGGACTGGACCAATTCAGAGTGCAGGGGTGCAGGTGTGTGAAGTATTACAGTGGTACCTCTGGTTATTAACGCTTCAGGTTACAAGCTCTGCTAATCTGGAAGTAGCTGCTCCTGGTTGCGAATTTTGCCCCAGGATGCGAATGGAAATTGCGCACCAGAGGTGCGCACACATCAGGAGGCCCCATTAGCGAAAGCACGCCTCAAGATAAGAATGGTTTCAGCTTGAGAACAGACCTCCAGAACGAATGAAGTTCAGAGGTACCACTGTATGAACTTTTGAAAGTTTCCCATGCGAAACAAAACCACAACAATCCCTCTCTGCATAGAGCAAACCAATACCTAAGAACGAGGTTTAGATCCTTCCTTACCCTGATGTGCTGGTTTGGGTGCTGTTCTTCATTCCCCCACAAAGGTGCCCACCTCTCTCCCCCCCCGGGGGGGCCAGCTGAAGTGGTACATTCCAGGATTTTACTACCTTATTCTGTCCTTAAAGTGTAGATTGGCTGTTATTGCTGTCATAAGGTGTGTATACACCAGGCCGTTTTTCATGCAGGTGGAATGTGCACGGTTAGCTTTCCTCCTATAGCCTGTAAGAAAACGGTTCACGTCTGAAGCAGCCATAATTCAGGACCCGGACGTCTTCATTTTGAGTCAGAGATGACCCTGCCAGCTCCAGTTCCCTTGAACTATTCAGGTTGCTAGTGACACGGCAAGCCCTCTGCCCACACCAGGTCCTTTTAGGAACATCAGTCTGCTAGGAACGCCTGCCATTCAATTGCGCTCCATTGAAATGCATGGGACGGAAGTCCTTTTACGAAATGTCTGTTTCGGTGAGCACCTCCCTGTTGGATTGTGCCCAGCGTGGTTTGCCTGGTGCCATAGAACTTGGCAAACGGAACTGGCCTTCACTGAAAAGACGACCAATATGCCCAGTGGCTGCTATTATTATTTTTCTGGCACAGCGCTTGCCCTGAAAAAGAGAAATAAATGTACTCTTGTCGCATTGAGAGAATTGAGAATTATCTGGTCAGGGAGAATGCCCAGGGAACAGAATTAATTGCCAACCGATGGATTGGCACATGAAATAGTGTTCATATGGGTCTGAGGTGCTCTTAGTAGTGGTATTCCACTCCGCCTTCCCACAGCGGCCAGCAGCTTTTTAAAAGAGAAATTTGCAAAGTCAAGGAGCAAATACGCTTGCGGGGCCCACGCTGAACCTGGGAGTGTGTGATGAGTTGGCAAAAGTGCCATCAAGGGAGAATTGGGCGTTGGTCAAAAGGGCGGGACATGTGGCAAGCGGGCATTAAAGAGGACCTTGGGGCGTGTCACACTTTATGGACGACCCCTCGCTTGAAGTATCAGGCGTTGAGCGCTTCTGATGGGGCACTTAAGAGAACTCAGGAAACACATCTAACTAGGCATGCACACACCGAGTCCTATGCAACAATGACTGTCCTGGAGAGACAGAGAGAGGTGTCCTTGCATTAAAAGATCCCTCTGGAAGATCAGCAGGGAACCAGGAATGTCCGTGTTGCCATGGTGGGATGCTGCAATTCTCCTCTGCATCTCTTGTTAGATGCATCTACAGTGGTACCTTGGTTCTCAAACTTAATCCGTTCCGGAAGTCCGTTCCAAAACCAAAGCGTTCCAAAACCAAGGCGCCTTTTCCCATAGAAAGTAATGCAAAACGGATTAATCCATTCCAGACTTTCAAAAACAACCCCTAAAACAGCAGTTTAACATGAATTTTACTATCTAACAAGACCACTGATCCACAAAATGAAAGCAATAATCAATGTACTGTACTATAAAATAAATAAGACCGTATTGTAGATGATAAAAATTAAAATTAACTTTTTTTCTTACCTGCACTGATGATAGTCATTGTTTGAATGGGGGGCTTTTATCCATTTCCGCAGTCACACAATCAATCAGTAGCTGAACTGGGTTCCACACAGTCACAGAAACAAATTAACTGAAGAAGCCTCAAAAACAGAAACGCAAATTAAATAGCAAAAACAAAAGCGCCAAACCTAATCCGTTCCGGTAGTCTGTTTGACTTCCAAAATGTTCGAAAACCAAGGTGCAGCTTCTGATTGGTGCAGGTGCTCCAGAAACAATAGCCGACAGCCGGATTGGATGTTTGGCTTCCGAAAAAATGTTCAAAAACTGGAACACTTCTGGGTTTTTGGCATTTGAGAACCAAGGTACCAATGTACATGGCATCTCCAATGGTACAGGGTAAATGTTGCTTACACTGGTTGGGGGGAAAATACAACCATATCCAAGAGTGGCTAAATTATGACACCGACTTTACACCTCCTTAATCCTGATGACATTTCTGTGCATTGTAAAACATATTTAATTCATTTGGGCATTATTTTTTTACTGAGTGTGAGAAGTCCCTGGTTATATTTTTCCTTGGGGCGCAGTGTTTGTTCTAACTCCTAGTACAGTGATCAATTGCTAGATGTGTCTGACGTTAGCCTGTTACGACGGGGGCTGTTCTTTCGACGGCAGCCATGACTAATTGTACGTGACTTTCTGATTTTGTAAGTAACTCTCTTTTCATCCCTGAATTTCGCCGGACCTTTCAATGCGGATCCTTTCCCTTCGCCCCGAGTGCCGGCCAAGTTCTCCTAATTTAAAGAAACAACATCTACTCACACCTATTGTTACTAAAACGTGGACCGTGAGCCTC